CAGGAGACCCAACCAGTCCATCCTAAAGGAGATCAGTCCTGGGTGTTCATTGGAAGGACTGATGCTGAAGCTGAAACTCCAATACTTTGGCCATGTGATGCGAAGAGCTGACTCATTTGAAAAGACCCTGTTGCTGGGAAAGATTGAAGGCAGGAGGAGAAGGGGACAACAGAGGATGAGATGGTTGAATGGCATCACAGACTCAATGGACATGAGTTTGGGTGGACTCCGGGAGTTGGTGATAGACAGGGAGTCCTGGCGTGCTGCGGTTCATGGGATCACAAAGAGTTGGACACGACTGAGAGACTGAACTGAACTGATTGTATAAGTTTAAGGGGTGCACCGTAAGTTTGACTTTTATACATCGTGAATGTTTATTACACAAATTTAAGGAACACCTATCATCTCATATAGATACAGAAATAAAGAAATAGACAAAAAAATTTTCTAGTGATGAGAACTCATAGGATTTACTCTCTTTGAAACTTTCATATTTAACATACAGCAACATCAATTATATTTGTCTTGTTGTACATTACATTCCTAGTACTTATTTATCTTGTAACTGGTAGTTTTGACCACCTTCACTCAACTCCCCTCCCTCCAGTTCCAGCCTCTGGTAGCCACAAATCTGATTTTTTCCTATGAGCTTGTTTGTTTGCTTTTGAAGTGCAATGATCTACAATACTATGTTAGTTCCTGTTCCACAACATAACAATTTGGCATTTCTCTACATTTAAAAATGATTACAACAATCAGTCTGGTTATGATGTCATCATTCAAATACATTAGGTATTTATTATATTCCCTCCATTGTACATAACTATCTATATCTATCTATCTATCTATATACATATACATTGGTATATATATATACCAATATATACCAATATATATACCAATGTATATACATTGGTATATGTATATATATATATATATATATATATACACATATATGTATATACACACACACACACATTAAGTCCTGTGCTCTTATGTTCAAATGCACTTTAACAACTCTGCATTTTGATACCCCTAATGCAGTGGTTTTGATGTCATGTTTAATATTTTGACCAGGTTGGATTCCTGGGTTGGGAAGATCTCCTGGAGAAGGGAATGGCTACCCACTCCACTGTTCTTGCCTGGAGAATTTAATATCTTTTTGTTTTGTGTATCCCTTAATTACTTATTGCAGGTATACACAATTTTACTACCTTTGTCTTTTACCCTCTCTCCTAACTTTACACATAGCTAATTTACTACCTTTATTGTATATTTGCCTTTATTAATGAGATTTTTTTCCTTTCATAATTTTCATGTTTCTCATTGTGGACTTTTTCACTTACAGAAGTCCCTTTAACATTTCTTATAAAGTTGGTACGGTATGAACTCTTTAGCTTTCACTTGTCTGTAACACTTTTGATTTTGCATCAAATCTGACTGAAAGCCTCGCTGACTAAAGTATTCTTGGTTGTTCTTGGTTGTGGGTTTTCCCTTTTGTCACTTTACCCATGTCGGGCCACTCCGTTTTGGCCTACAGAGTTTCTGCTGAAAAGTCAGCTGATAGCCTTATGGGAGTTCCCTGGTATGAAACTTGTTGCTTTTCCCTTGCTGCTTTTAACATTCTCTTTTTATTTTAACTTTTGACATTTTAATTACAGTGCATCTTGTTGTGTTCCTCTTTGAGCTGATCCTGTTCGGGACTCTCTGGCTTCCTGGACACAGACTTCTATTTCCTTTCTCAGGTTAGGGAAGTTTTCAGCTATTATGACTTTAAATGTGTTCTCTGCCCCTTTCTCTTCTTCCGATATCCTACTAAGGTGAATGTTGGTATGTTTGCTGTTATCCCAGAGGTCTCTTAAACTGCCTTCATTTCTTTTTATTCTCTTTTTCTCCTGTTCCTTTATACTGATTTCCCTTACTCTGTATTCCACCTTATTGATCTATTCCTCTGTATCATCTAATCTACTGTTGATTATTTCTAGTGTATTTTTCACTTAAGCTATTTTATTCTTCATCTCTGGGTCTTCTTTATATTTTCTAACCCTGTTAAAAAATTCCAACTTCTCACTCTGTTCATACAATCTTCTTCTGAGTTCTTTGAACATCTTTATGATTATTAATTTGAACTCTCTATAGGGTAGATTGCCTATCTCTGCTTCACTAGTTCTTCTTCTGGAATTTTATCTTTTTCCTTCATTTGGAAGATAACCCTCTGTAGCCTCATTTTGTCCAATTTACTGTTTTTTATTTCTATTTAATTAGCAGGTTGGTTATGTTTCCTGTTCTTGGAGAAGTGGTTTTGCAGGAGCTTTCCTATGCTTCCCAGCAGTATAGTCCCCTCTATGAGCTCTATGCTTGAGGATTCCCCCTACGTGGGCTGGTATTGGTCCTTCTGTTGTGGTAGGCTGACTACGTGGGTGATCTGGTAGATGTGGCTGGCCCCCAGTGCAGCTGGTTGGTCCTGCCTTGTGTAGAGGCTGCTGGCCCCTGGTTGGCAGGGCTAAGTTATGAGGCCGCTGGCTATAGGACCCCAAGACGGTCCTGTTCTGGTCCACTTAGGTCTAGTTCTGGTCCATGGTCAGGCAGAGCCAGGCTCTGGCATGGTTGGCTGTGACACCAAGGGTTCCAAACTTGATGTCAGTCTACTGGCAAGCGGGGCCAGTTCCTGACACAACTAGCTGTGGCATCCAGGTTGTCTCAGAACCGGTGTCGGCCCTCTGATGAGTGGGACTGGACCCCAGGGCAGCTGGTTGAGGGGTCCAAGATATGTTGGAGCTGGTTTTGGCTTACCGGTGGGCAAGGTCAAGGCCAAGGCCATAGGGTCCTGGAGCTGGTGTCTATCTGCTGGAGGGTGAGAATGGCCCTGGTGTACCCTTCTTTATCTGGTTCCTCCATGAAGTTGCAAGCTGCTTAAAAGTAGACAAGACAGTAGCTTTTTTTCCCTACATCCTCATTTATAGCTCTAGAAATATCTAATAGATATAGTGAGGAAGAAACACCTGCAGTGTTGTACTGCCCCCTCCTGGAATCAGCAAGAAGTCAGCCAGCAATAGTACCCTTCATCCTGCATGGGTGTGTGCTAAGTCACTTCAGTCGTGTCCCACCCTGTTCGATCCCATGAGCTGTAGCCTGCCAGGCTCCTCTGTCTATAGGATTCTCCAGGCAAGAATACTGGAGTTGAGTTCCCATGCCCTCCTACAGGGGATCTTCCCAACCCAGGGATCAAACCCACGTATCTTGTGTCTCCTGCGTTGGTAGGTGGGTTCTTTACCACTAGTGCCAACTGGGAGGTTCCACCATTCATCCTAGGTGGTTGGGAATAGATTTTGCTATTCTCTGCTGGTTAAGATCTCAAATGCTTCAGCAAAACACTGGGCAACAGCCCTTTTGCAAAATCCCCAGAGGAGTCAAAGTCCGAGCAGAGACCACGTACAGTTCACTTCTGTCCCCTACCCTGTTCTGTCATTTGCCCTACTACTTCTCAGGCGGTTTCCCAGGTGGCACTAGTGGTAAAGAATACTCCTTCTCAGCTTCTTTTTCATGGTTTGCTTTAAAGTCTTCCTTAGTTAACCTCACTTTGATCTTTCTCATTCTACTTCAGTCTCATCTTTTCTTCTAGCCCAAAGATTTACTGTAGCTCACATGAGGGGAAGAGCTGAGTGAAGACTGGGGTTGATTGGAGCTGCATATGACCTCAGGCAAATCTGACCCTGAGTTTCAGTTATAAAATACTAGTAGTAATACCTGTTTTCTTCACCTCACAGGGCTCCAATATGATCACGTAAATAGGGGGTAATATGCAGTTTCAGGTAGTGAGCTGACTCCATTTCCCCATGCTGATCTTTCGGGGAGAGTAACTACTTCCAAGATGAGAGTTCACAGATTGAGGAGAGCAGGGTTTGTTTTTTTTTTTTTATTGCTCATCTCCATGTTGAAAATCAAAAACGTCCCCAGTCTGAAACTGATACAAATATGGTATATCATGGACTGTGACTTTCCTTACGGGTCTGCAAAGTGTCCTGGGTGGGCGAATAATTCATTTAGATTCAAGAGGGATGGGCCTGAAACTCTTAGACTACAAGGGTGCAGAATACATTCATTTGGGTCAAATAATTGGTAACTTGATAATAGGTTAGTGATACAATATTTGAATATAGGTTAATAATAATAATACTAATGTTCAGTGGGTAGGCCAATGTGAAGGTTTAAATAGTGAACTTATCCATATGGGAGGGAGAGCTTGGAGAGTGGGAGGGGGAGTACTCAAACTGATTGCCCACGTTTGTGATCTCAGCCTACGCCACACATGATCTACTTTCTACTCCTCAGGTGATTTAGAGTTGGCTCAGGTCAGAAATCCCCTTGGGTGGGTACTCTAGTTAATCAGGGTGTTTCCTGGCTGGGAAACCAAAAGCAGATATTCAAGTCTTTAATCTTTTCTGAGTACCAATCCCTCTGAAATCTGGCAGAATCTATGGATCCTCTCACCAGAAAAGAGAACTAACACACATTCAAACAAAATTGTTTTTTTTTTAATTTTAAATGGAAAGATACTTGCTTTACAATATTGTGTTCATTTTTGCCGTATATCAAAATGAACCAGCTATTAGTATATGTATGTTTCCTTCCTCGCGGCCCTCCCTCCCACATCTCACCCCATCCCACCCCTTTAGGTTGTCATCTGCTCCTTGCGTCATACTGAAAATTCCACTAACTGTCTAGTTTTACATAGGGTAATGGATGTTTCAGGGCTACTCTCTCAATTCGTCCCACCCTCTCCCTCTGCCCCCATATCCGCAAGTCTGTTCTTAGTTTCTTAGTGGTTTAGTTTTTAAAAAAGAGATGGGGCTTCCTGTTTTTGGTCCCCAGGCCCCACCCATGACTTGCTGGGTGGAGAGTTCTAACCTTAAGCTGTGAATTAAAGGTGCCTTTGGTTTCTTTCTGGCTTGACTCTGGTCTGTATCCAGAGTTCCCGTAAAGTTCTGGAGAAGAGGAGCATGTGCTCCAGAAGGTGGGAGTGGTCTCTGACTCTGGAAATTCTACTGCTGCCTCATTTGTTCCTGGCGACCAGCATACAAGGTACTTTCCACAAATTGTCTGCCTGTAACTGTACACTGGAGGCCCAGTCAGATGGAAAAGGGAATACGGGGTGTGTCTCCACCTGAGGTTGAGTAGTGGCTCCAGGCAGCAAGTATTTTCATCCTGGCAGCAGGGTTGTGATGAGTTCGGGAGTCTTCCTTAAGCTTTGGAAAATCAGGCTCCATCTCTTTTCTCAAGGGGAAGCAACAAAAATAGAACTTTGGTGAGATGGAGAAGTAGTCCTCTCATATTTATTGCAATGGTTTCTCATCTGTGAAGTTTCTTTGCATTACAAATACCCGAACGCTGCATGGGTAGCTGCCACATTTTAGGCTCAGGGGTGCTGTGCTCCTTGAGGCATGTTTTGAGACCTCTGTCTTCGCAAGGAGTTGTGTCATGAGCAAAAGTAAATAATGTTGTCATTGCTCCAGAGAGAAATCAAAATGGGAAAGTGCGGTGGTCCAGCCCCAGCAGGATCCAGGGGTACCCTCAGAATGAACAGCATCAGCAAGTGTGAGAGAGAGAACGAAAGAGACCAGACTGGGATGTACAGCAAAGTCTGGCAGCGTTTTATTTTTCACCGTAGCTTATATACCCTAAGTTAGTACATTTCTAAGGGGAGGTGAAAGATAAACATACAAAGTTTAGTTTAACATTATGTCAGTTTTGTCCTTCACGAAACCAGGGTGTTTTCTGCATACTTCTTTGTTCATGAGAGTCTTCTTTCATAGTGGACCTTTGTACATTGTCTTCTGGCCTTGGGGCCTATTAACATTTTATGGTCTAGGTGAAGGCAAAACTGTTTTCCATAGTCTATTCTTTATTGTTCAGTTTTACCTTGAGTTTAGCAGAAAACAGAAATGTTGCAGTCTCATGGTACAGCAGGTTGCAACATAGTAGAAATACAATCTTGTTAACACATATGTCAGCCTTTTTGCAAAAGTTCCCAGCTAAATTTATCTAAAAAGTATACCACACAAAGACTCTGTGGCTCTGATGAGGCAGCCTCTGTTTTAGCACTCTTGATTAAAATTAACAATTATCTTATTGTTTCCACACTAGGGCTAAACTCTTATTTTTCTAAATCCTTAACTATATTACAATAGTTTTTACTGCACAACCGCAGTACAATAACAGCAATCAAATGTTGATCCAATAACCACTTTTAGAATAATATTTTTTTGTGTTCTCCAATAGGGCTTTCTCACCCCCGCAGGGCTCTGTGCCTATCAGGGCCTTTTGTGATCAGGTTCTTTATGCTGTTCATGATTAAGGTGTTGTGAGCAGTCATGTGCATTAGTATGCATCTGCCAAACAAGCCAGAGTGCCAGCAAAAGGGTTTTTACTTGAAACATTTCCTTCATTCCTGGCCCCTTCATAGGGAACCAGCATCCAGGAGATTTATTAATTAGGATTCTATGTTGGTCTTTATTTAGTGAAAGAGGAGCAGAAGAGCTCTCGGCAGGCAATGCAAAGATCTGCAACAGGACGAACAAGGACAACAGCAAGAGGGGGAGGCTACAGGGTGGAGTAGAGGCCAGGGTCAACCTGGAGAGTCCCTTGTAGCCTGAACAGCCTTGCGTTTCAGGTCTTCTCCTCATGACTTTGTCATGGGTGGGATCTCCCATAATGGCTCCCAACAGGAAAGGAAACTGGGGAAGGATGGCTCTGTCTAGGGTCTCTGAGTGACAGTCTGAGCAGAGGCCTCAGTAGCAGGGAAACCCTGGAACATCTGATTAAGAGCTAAGGTTCGTTCTGCCATGGTTATGTTCTGATCCCCTTGTGTGGCAACTTTCCTTTTCCTGTTACAGTTGTCCAGCCCACTAGTACCTGTCTTCCTAGGTCAGCTGAGACCTGAGAGCTAAGCTAGTGCCTTTCTCACTATTCCCCCTAATAAATACTTAAGTCTTTTTCATTAAAGGTGCTTTAAGGTTCACTACTATGGAAAAAATGAGTAAAAGTGAGTTTGGGAATGGGAAACAGATATAACATTTTAAAATTATGATAGTATGTGACTCTGAGGCAGATGAGATAGCCATACTTAGAGGAAATCCGGTTGGCTACTCATGCAAGGCCTCTCAGGGTGGCAGGACATTCGATCTGGTTTATGACTGGCTTTGGGGGAGGAAGAGATGTTTCTCTGCCCTTCTAGGATCTCTGACTGGTGTAAGAATTAAATAGACATGAGATAAGCTAACATGAGAAAATCAGAGTTTAATATTGTGTACATGGGTGAAACCCAGAAGAACCAAGTAACTCGCTAAAATGGCTGAAGCCCTCATCTTAAATACCATCCTCTGCTAAAGATGAAAGAGAATGCTGAGGGTGACAGTTCTGGGAGGTTATCAGGAAAAGCACAGCAAATAAGGGTAAGGTTGTTAGGCAGATTTAAGTTAGTGCCTTCGCCATTGGTAAGAGTTTCTAGAGATTTGGTCATCTTCCTCTTTTGGTACGGAGAGAGAGAGAGAGAGACACCTTTATTAATGGAGATTTCCCTTACAAATATAAATGTTTCTTACAAAAAAGGGTAACTCGTACATTGTTTTCAGAGTGTTTACCATGTCTACTCTTTCCTTAGATAAGAACACTCTTAAAACAATTAATATGCCAAAGAGACATATATTAGGGTGGCACATTCTGCTCCCCTACACTAAGTCTAGAGACATGATGTCTTCAGGCCTCTCATGGCTGTGTGAGCTCCACGGGGCTTAGTCAACTCATAGGTCACTAATATGACCTTGGGAGTAGAGCTGGTATGAAGTATTTATCCAATTGTTGGGAAAGATAGAAATGCCAAGAGAACCGGACTATTTCAGCTCTTTCTCTAGACATGAGGTCATTGGGTCTAAATCTCTTCATGTCCAGAGTATGCCTACAGATGATAGTTCTTTTATCTTCAATTTATGACTCCTTCACCCCATAACCTGGTGGCACAGTGGTTTAAAAAAAAAAAAAACCCACCTGCCAATGCAGGAGATGTGGGCTCAATCCTTGGGTCCAGAAGATCCCCTGGAGAAGGAAATGGCAACCTACTCCAGTATTCTTGCCTGGGAAATCTCAAGGGCAGAGGAGCCTGGTGGGCAACAGTCCATGGGTCACAAAAGAGTCGGGCATGACTGAGTGATAAAACAACACCCCATAACCACATTTCATCTAAATTTAACTTTGCTGTTTGTCTTGAAGGAGGTGCTTTCTGTCTTACCTCTAGGCCTATATACATACCTTTCCTTCTGTCTAAAATGTCCTGCACTCCTGCCTCTCCAGCCCCTCCCATTTTGGTGTCACTTCCTCCTAGAAACCTCAGGTCCCAGGTTATGGTTGATGAACTGCTTGGTTGTCTGTTTCCTTGAGCTCTGTGAGCACAGGGACCTTGTTCGTTGCTGAACCTAATACAGTGATAGCACGTGGCATGGGCTCAATAAATAATTGTTAATCCTATGAATGAATAACATCAAAGAGCTTCCTTTCAGGCTATCTGTCCAGATCTTCCTGGTGGTATCATTATTCTTTCTTTCCCAATAATGGATGTTTTTGTGGAGAAATTTGAGAAGTATTTTTTAAATCTCCTCTTTTGGCCCTCCTCAGACTTGAGTTTCTCAGCTCTCTGATCTCTCGGCCCATTCCTCACTAGCAGGCATCTTCCCTGTCTCCCTCTAGCACAACAAAGTGCACTAGAAATAGCTTGTTCTGGGAATCAGAAGACTTATCTTCTTTTTCCTTAATTTTATTTTTAACTGGAGGATAATTGCTTTGAGACCTATGTTCTGAGTTCTAAGCCACGGAGTTTCCTATAAATCGCAAAAGCTTTCTGAGTCTCAATTTACTCAACTCTATTATGGGTATAATGATATGCTCCCCATTTTTTCAAGGGGTTATTATTAAGATCAATGAAATAAAGAATGTGAAATTGCTCTGTGATTGTGCCCACATACAGTTTGAGACAGATAAGAGCCAGGAATATCATAAGGAAATTCCAAAGCCCAGTGCTCTCTCCTGGCCACAGAACTGAATCTCTGCTTTTTAAACATCTTCAAACACATTTCCAAAATCTAACTCCTCATCTTTGTTCCAGCTATCTATTGCTGGGTAATAAGCCTCCACAAACCTGGTGCTTCCTCACCATGCATTTAGTCACTGCCATCTGGCTGATTAAATTCATGAGACTTTCCATCTCAGGAAACGACACTGTACTCTGTTCATCTTGCCCCCCATGACACGCATCTTTTTTAATGCCTATTGGTGTCTATTGATGCCTATTCGATGTCTACTGCCAAATTACTTCCTTGAAAGGTTTGTACAGGTTTGTTAAACAGTTTATCTCACTAGAGAGCTGCACGTTACCCCATGTCAGTATCTTTAAAACACCTCTTTTGGTTCTTAAAATTTTACGAGAAAGCACATGACTTGCTTTAGAGTATTCAGAATTTCCCTTTTAGCACTTCTTTCTTCTTCCTGGGTAGACTCTTTTGTATGAAATTACTGCTTCCTTTGATTTGATTCCCCTCCCCTACACCATTTTAGTTTTACTTCTCTACAGACAAGAAACATGGGTAAGCAAAGGAAAGGTCTGCCTCATTTATAAACTGCACATAAATACAGTTACTTTATCCTAAGCATTCAGACACATGAACAACTACTTCTTGTTAGAATTAAATCAAAGTAGTACTTTAAGTAGTTTTCTATCTAATAAAATATTGAATTGTTAAAAGGCACATCAAAATATTTTTCAATTTACTTTAAAATTTAAAAAACATAAATATATCAGAAAAAGAAATATATATATATATATATATATATATATATACATGAAAGTAAGTAGAAAGTCAAGAGATACCTGGAGAGGCTTTGGAGTACAAAATGAAGCAGGGAAAAGTCTAACAGAGTTTTGCAAAGAGAACACACTGGTCATAACAAATACCCTCTTCTAACAACATAAGAGACAACTCTACACATGGACATCACCAGATGGTCAATACTGAAAGCAGAATGATTATATTATT